CAGCCAGGCCTTGAAGCAAGTGATCGAGGAAAAGAAGAAGATGGGTTTCGAACTCTGCATTAATTTCTAGAGATCTCAGCTGAGCCCCGTTCAAAAGTCAACTCCAAGCGGATGCGGCGGACAGTCTGCTTGCTCCTGAGTGTGCGAGACCTACATGTTTATTGTTTAATCATGATCATCTTCGATTGATCTGGAGCACCTGCGACTTGTGAGATGCCCCAATGCACGTTGTTTTTTTGATCCAAAGATAGATAGATTGGGAATTTCGACCTGGAATGGCGATCGCAAAGATTTTTGTGTCCCAAAAAATCCACAAAAAACCAATTCCCAATCTGTGGTTTATTGGGTATGCGGCCTAGTTGGTATAATGGCGCCCAAATGGTTCGAATCAGGAGTTTTTTTAATTCTGTATGCCACAAGTGGGAAAAAGGAAGTATTGACACGCATAAGTGGGGGCCAAACAACAGAAAACACGAAGGGTTTTGAACTGGGGGATTTCAAAATCTTACAGCAGTACAGTATATAGTATATATATATAGTGGGGTTGTTGATGGTGAATAAAAAAAGTTTTGAACAAAAACCCTGCTAGAACTATCAATGGACTGTTTCGTTGAAAACTGTTGAAATGGCTTTGCCACAGTTGTTACCATCAGGATCATCAGGACATCCAGACATGCCGAAGTCGACACGGACAATGCAGCCACTGACTGCGTTTGGTTTTGCAAATGTCAAAATGTTTAAAATGTCTACGTTGAATGGAGAAAAACAACAGACATTTTTGAATACGACCTGCAAGGCTGCAAGACAGATCTTCCAAGATCAGACGTGTCCCCTTTGAAACATCGATATCTTTCCATTTCTTGGGATCTGATGGACGGGACATTCCCGCAAGCTCGGCACAACAGCAGAAACCACAGTACTTCCCGCCCTTCCCTGGCATGGCTGATATGGTGAGAATCTTGGAGATGTGGTGAGATGATGTCGCCATATCCAGCTGTGATGAAACACGACTTCGAGTCAGATATCATCTACAGATATCTAATGATGGATGCCCCAGCAACTGTTGGGCTCGCGAGATGAGTATCTAAGCTTGTACTCCTGAGTTGGTCGTGACCATAGTTTCTAGTCACTTTTTGGAGTTACCATGGTCACCCAGCATTGCGGGCCTCATTTCTGGACTTGCCACCTTCTAAACGAGTGACAGGATTTAGATGCCCCAAATATCCAGTGTCGCAAGAGTTGTTAGGTGTTTTTTTTTTGCACTTCAAGTTTCAAGGGAAGTCAACCTGGAAGATTGACTATCGACGATGTTCCATGAGTCAACGTGGCCATGTCAGAAAACCACCGCTCAACAACAAGCGACCTAGGATATGGTCGGAGATGCAGCGGGAGCAGAAAACCAAGAGCTTTGCAAAGACCAAGGCATTGATTGTGACAGGGTTTCAATAGGACTCTGCTCCGATGGTACCATATGGATCAAAACCGGTAGCATATTTGATTGGGATTTAAACCAACAAAAATGGGGGTATAATGGAATAGAGGACATACCGGTATAACGTAATTGTATAATACATATATCATATATTGTCTATCTATCTATCTATCTATCTATATATATATATACATATGTATGTATAACCATCAATATGATGATTTGGTTGGATGAACATCCTGAATTCCCAGCTGTTTTGGTGAGAACAGAAGGGTCTTGACGGGTTTTTACCCATAACCGGTGGTTTTGCCTCCATTTAACTTGTTTTCACCCCATGGAACCGCTATAGCACTGCTCAGGACCATCACTGTGGCGTATCCAACAAGAATCTAAGGCAACAAAGGATTGTGGGGTTGCCCTTGCCCTTGGAAATATATGGTGAATTCACAATCATCACCAAGAAGCGAAAAGATGACGGATAGCAAGGAAGCGATGGTTCGCTGGTTGAAAGTCCAGGATGCGCCATTCGGGTCGTTCCATGGTGAGAATTTGTTCTTGTGCTTCTGGATCTTCTGGGAGCGGACAATACCTTTATACAACTGAATACAGCGTAATACTATATATGTATTTACATGTATACAAATGTATTTGAATATTTCTGTTAGCAAATGTATATTTGATATATAGTTTCCCACATGCCATCCAAAATCAATTATATATCCCAATGTGGATAAACGTGATGGCTGAAAACATGTAAATGTATGTATATCATTGTATATCTACATAAATAGATAGGTCTGGTGGATGACTTTTGATGACCATCACAATGATCCCCCTAGAGTGTGGTGCGCCAGAGGCATTCGAAAACCCAAACCCGGATGTTGCTGAGCGCGCCGTTTGCTTTGATCCCCACAGCGGGCGACCGTTGCTCGTCGCTGAGAAAAAAGGGTTGCACCGGTTGCAGTGGATGCGGACCTTGCGTTTCATGTCATTTTTTTTCCAAGCGATTCCGTGCTTTGGGATGCCCAAATTGGGCAGCACTTTTGATGCGATACTTTGAGAGTCCTTATTGGGAAATCAAACTCGGCTGCCGCGGGCCGGCCCAACAAGTTCTGAGGACCTCACTAGAGTGAAACCTTCCGAAGGCCTCCCAAACGTATCTTGGGGATCAACAAACATCGTACATCGTGCTGTCCGTTTGAGGATGGTTTTGGGTTTGAGGACTTTGGCAAGAAGTCGCAGAAATGATACGGATTCATTTGTTCAGTATTTGAGGGACCCGAACAAACGACTCTCAGTTGGGCCTTCTTTGCGACTTGTTGCAGTTTGCAGCTCCAAACATTGCCAAGAAAATGGAAGGTCATTCAAAAATTGGAAGGTCGTCATTATAGGTCATTGCAAAATTGATAAAATTGGCATTGCAAAAATTCTCCCAATTTGAGTGTGATTCATTTGGTCGGTAGCCAGATACCAGTGCTAGACCTTGGATCAAAGGATCCAGGTGCAACGATCGTCCGCAGAGGAACAAACACTGGAAACACGTCAAAGATTCCAAACTCGCCGCAGCAAAGGGTTTCTCACTTGGTGTCACAAGTTTTTTTCTGTCGTTTTCTTTGAACGCGATTCCGAGCTCACCCTGCTTGGCTTTGGAACAGCGCAAAGCCAGAGCGCGGAGCCGCAGCTGGAAGTTCCTAGGGCAAGTTGTCCCGCAGATTGCTGACAGTCCTCTCAGCAGTACATATTCTTGCTGAGGCTCATATTGGTTCCACATGATTCCACATTGTAGATTCCATTGCAATCTCATGTCCAATGATGCACTTTCATGCAATTTTCAGTCTTTCCCCAGGGGTTTTCCAGTGTTTCCATTGGTTTCATGTTGCATCGGTTTCCCAAACAGTTCAGGTTTAGTCTCTGCGTTTCGAGGCGTTTCACCGCCGAGTCGACCTCCTCAAAGGACGGCAGCCTTAGCTTGTCAGGCCTAGATTCCTAGATCACCACACTCGACATCTCGACATCTCGACATATTTTCAATTGGAGAAATCTTGAGAAATCGACATTTCTCCCGTTCTTTTTTGGCCAGCAGTCGCAGTCAGTTTTTCGGAGGTCCAAAGGGACAAACACGTCATACGTCAGACATTGAAAATCAGGCGACCTCGAGAGATCCGGCAAGTCATGCATAAAGACATGAATGCAAACATATGCAAACTATGGTGCCGGTCCGCCAAAGAGGGCCATCTCCACACATATCCCCTACGATCAATAGGGGTCCCAGGGAGTTTGCACAAATGTCATGATTTTCCCGTAGATAATCAGGCCATGAACACTTCCGGTTTTTAAATTTTGGTGGAGTTGTCGAGTTGTCGACTCCCAGGACGTCGTCATGGGCTCTGGCGGCTCATCTCAGGCCCTCCACAAGAGCTTCTGAGTGGCAGAGCTGATTCACACAATCATTTTAAATCATTTTATTGTCTGTACATGTCTGTACATATCTGTACATATCTGTACTATTCTGTAGCATTTTTTGAGCCAGTGCTTTTGCATCCTTTGCTTCGTCTCCCACTGTGAGTGGTTGTCGCTTGTGTCCCCGTGCCTCTGCGTATTTGTGGTGTGGTTGCACCATGTTGCACCTCAGCCGTACAACATTTTGACCTACATGGCGAGGCCAAACGTGCTGTGTCAGCTACTGCTGAGGTGCACACGGGTATCGTGGGCAGAGTGACGTGGGCCGTTGGTTTGTTCATTTGGAGTTCATTTAGATTAAGATCCAGCAACTGCTGTTTCAACAGGTTCAAGTTCGACTGGTTGAAGAAATGGCCAAAGTAAGCCAAGTAAGCTGTTCGTTTTCAAGACGAAAGTAACATTTGGTCATTTTTGCATTTGTTTCATGTCAAACTTTAATTTTTGTTGGCGTTCAGCTCGAGGTTTGGACATGGCGAGATTTGCTCATGGCGTGATGTTGACAGTTTCTTCAAAGAGATGAGGTTGTCACTCTGCGCGTTTTCGCAGGCGGACCAAACAGAAGGATGTCGCAGTCTTAGGCTTTCGAAATCAACCTCGGACGTTTGTTGTTGAACTTTTTTTTTGCTGGAAGGTTTGCTGAACATGGCATGATCTATGGATCTATTTGGTGTTTTTGGCTCTGTGTTTTGATTGTATTTCAATAGTTGAGTTGCATGTGCACCGGCCCAAACTCCACCCTTCGTATTACCTATTGAGTGATGGATGCAACGTTATTGTCCGATTCCTGTGGTTGATTTCCCATTCACATCAATAAATTTCCAAATCATCTGTCGATTCAGAAGAATCTCTGGTGTCAAACTACGGCGGAATCAAGTCGCACTGCTGATGTTTGCAAAGTGTCTTCATTCAGCCTCAGCTTATGCATTTTCTGAGGGAGTGGCATTATGCCGACCGCCCAGGAGCTTGGTGTCATAAAACATGTTGACATTTGCTAGACATGTTCGTGAAGCCGTATGGTTGACAGGAGCACACCAGCCCGGAAGTTGGGAGGCTTAGGAAAACGTGAGGGGCTGGAAGCGTGTTGCATGGTGCTGGCACTTTTGATAAGGTCTTCACTAGCTTGCTTGGCTTCGAGGTTCTCACACTGCACGCAGCAAGGTTGTTGGTTTGGAGTTTTTTGCCACCAGAAGAATTCAAATTCTGCACCAGATTTGGGAATAGAGAACCATATTCCAAGCTCACCTTTCGTGGTTTCCGCTATTTCTGTACGGGCGGTCAGTGGTTGCAAACGCATCTTCCTCAGACTCTGATGTTGAGCCTGCCATCTCTCGTATTCCTACCCTCCCTGTGTGTCTTTGGGCTGACCGAGATGGACCCTCAGTGGGGGGACGCCAACTTCGCCGAGGTCCACAGCAAGCTGTACGACGAAATCATGAGTTCCATCCACCTGGTCTTCGGGCACTTCAGCGATGGAGTTCGAGGACTTCCGGCGGAACACCTCGGGCAGGCCATGCGGATCCTGGGGATGAACCCCACGGAGGATCAGGATCTTTGGCCGCAGATTGAGGCTTTTGGGTTTTGAGGAAATCGCACCTCCCTGGACCTCCCTGTGACAACTTGGGAATGTTTGGTCTGTTGTTGAACTGTCCCTTTGGGTTTTGAGCTTCCGCAAGGTCTACAAACACTTGGCAGATCTTGGTCGCCCATACATCGACCAAGCGACGTTTCACCGTTTCATCCAGGACAGTCGGACAGTTCGGGAATGGTCCAATTCTTGATTCTTAGTGAAGTTGATGTTTCACTCGTGTGAGTTGAACATTGTGCCAATTGTGCCTTGAGAATGCTTGATGTTCCTGTTGTTTCACCGATTCTCTTTCAGCTTTGCGTAGCTTTGCAAGCTGCAGCACGGCGCAGGACGAATTGACAAAGTATCTCGAACAGGTTCAGGCCAGTCAAATGACGACAACCAAATTGATTGCCTTTGCACCTGGGCCAAACCGTAATGACTCCTTGAGATCTAAAGCTACCAAATTTTCGCGGATTTCAGAGACTACTGGTATGTGCTGCTTGTGAGATGCGCAGGCTGTGGTTGACTATCTGAAGCAATATGATACGGACAACAAGGGCGCCTTGTCCACTGAAGAAGTTCAAGCAGCGATCAGAGGCACGGTGAGATCAGAAGTGTCAGGAAAGGATTTCCATCGGATGTATTCCGGGATGTATCGAATGATGGAATTTTGAGAGAGCGAATGAATGATGCTAGGTTGATTGGTTGATGCCCGGGTGCTTTGGGATTTTATACATGGTTGACATATATATATATATATATTTGACATTATATTGTTTTATGGAGTCTTTCAGTACAATTTGTGGGTTGAAATCGGACATTTTGCGTCCAGGAAGTGAGCTGAGCCAGAAGAAGCTCCAGGCTTGTTGGGGAAGAATCAGAACTTGCAGAACTTGCAGCAACTGCAGTAGCGAGGGTCTGCAACTGGAACGCCAAAGCAACAACCAAAATCACTTTTTCACTTGTTCAGTGACGCACTTGTTTTTGGTAGTCCGGTGTTTTTCAGTCCCTTTATTAAGGGAAAGGAGATGTGTCTTAGTCTTTCTTCAGAAGCTGAAGAGACTCCGGCCTTGCATTCACCATTTCTTCTCACCAGCGACTCGCAGAGTCCTAGACAGCTTGGGATTCCGCAGGGTCACGAGGCAAGTGTCGCAACGATGCCAAGCAACAGCCACCCGGATGCAAGCTACAAGCTGACGGTTAGCCAAAGTGTTTGATGGAACCAGTATCCACATCCGTTCACCACATCTTCCCAAGTTGCCAAGTCATGAAGTGCACAATTCGGATTCTGGTCGATTGGGTATCACGGTATCACCAACAAGATGGATGGTGAATGTTAAACATGATTCAAACTCATGGCTTTTCTGGGGCTTTGAATTGAGCCTTACCCATTTTCCAAGAGGACCCCAGTTCGTTTTGACGGAGGTAAAGGTCAGCTGGATATTGTGGAGCTGGCAACGTGTTTTCTGGAGCTGGGTGATGAGGCGGCTCTCGGTACATTACCCTTGTCATCCCTTGTCTACATCACACGAACAGAAATCGGTTTCTTTGGGATCACAATTTATTTGGTCGACTGAGGGCATATCTTATTGGGGCTCATGTGGCTGGTCTTGTCATCCCTTGAGCTGCAGGAAATGCTTGAGCCATCGGAGGCAGCCATGGCAGCCATTGGGGGAATCGCCGGTGGGAATTGACCTACGATATCCTACGATGGTTTGCTATCGAAATCTATACGCATTTTGTGACAAAATCAAAACATATAGTGCTTCATTTCCTTCATTTCTTTCTTGCATTGAGTTTAGATTCAGGAGGACAGCCTGATGTACACCGGGAACGGCAAAGCAACAAACAGAATTCATTTTGTTCATTTATAGAGCGAAATATGTGTTTTTGGCTTTCGCAGTAGTTCACTGTTTTTCAATTTTCTTCTCATGAATCAAGGTTAAGAAGATGTTCGCACGTGTCTTTTTTCAGACACAGAATAGACATTGGGAACATACTTCATGATGTTTTCAGGTCATGGCAGAATTGTTCTCATGCGGGCGCTCTTAGCCCAGGTGATTCAACCTTCAACCAGAAACAAGCAGACGCCAATTCGAAAAAACGCACCAGACTATCTTAAGATATCTTAAGCAAGACTGTGTAAGCGCCACTTCAGGTTGTGGCCCGCAAAACCATGTAGCAGTGGACCTGGTGTGGTTTGGAAATGGAAACATGTAGCAGTGGATCAGCAAGACCTTACTTTTTCTCAGCACGTAGTTTCAAGGCCTGACAAGTCAGTTGCAAGGCAGAGAAAGAGAGAGCATCTGCGAGTGAAGCAGATAGCAAAGCAGTCGAAATTCAGGCATGAATGGCCAGGGGCTAGAGCCTTGTTGCTTTAGACTTCTGCACGTTTCATTCAAGATAACATTGAGCTCAGCTTGAGTCTCAAAATTGCAGTCACTTGCGGCCATGTGAGACACTTTACCACATATAGACTATAGACACTTCTTTCACTATCAAAGCAAGCACATTTGGCACATGTCCACATGCTGAGTTTAGCCTTTTCTCCGTTCACTGGACCAAAACAGTGGATGTGACTGCGCTGCAAGGTGGTCAAAGATGATGTATCAGCTGATGCCGAGGCACATGCGGGAGCTGGAGGATTTGAAGCTTTGGTGCTTTGAGTGTCTACAGTAGCCGTTGGCTGGTCATGCTGCAGCCAATTGTTTTTGGGCAGTTTGGCCAAAGTTGATAATTGAATTCCGTGCAGTTGGGCGGTCTCTCAAAAAGGGGTTCCTTCTTTTGGTGGAAGACAGGAGAGCGCCAGTGGCCCTGCAGTTTGGAGGCTCAGGAGTGGGACTACTGACTACTGAGTACTAGGTCGCGACTGATACCTGAGATACAGAATACCCAGCTGGATGGGGACCCGGCTTTCCGGTAGAAGAATGAGCAAATCTGTTCTTGCTCAGAGGCTTTTCTCATGAAAAGATTCAGATCCGTCGGTTCTGATAGATGTTCAATGCTTCTTACTGATTTCAAGGCAGGTGCAAAGTTTTGCGACAAAACAGCAATATTTCTCGGAGGGTTCAATTGCTGAAGAAAGAAGGAATCTACAAATTCATGAAGTGGACAACTCTGATCTGCGGTTCTGGCATCGAGTGTAGTAGGATTCAATGATGTGAACATATATGAACACAGTTTTTTTCCCGACACCTCCCCCTGTTTGACCTGAAGACATGTCAGTGTCTTCAATCAAAGTGTCTGAATTGCACATGTTCTCCAGCAAGAAATGAGCCCCCAGATGCGCCTCTGGGATCGATTTGCCAAGGCCTACAGCACGATGTTCAGCGACATCATCGCTTCCACGAACGCGGTCTTCAGATATTTCTCCCAGCCTTCTGGGGTTCCCGCGGAACGACTTGGACATGCCATGGCTATTCTTGGGATGAACCCCACGGAAGATGAGGTTCTTTGACGGCAACTACTGCTGTTGTGCTTTGCCTTGAGACTGTTGCTTCCCTCTCGTGCCAATGTCTGTTCATAAACTGTTGAAGTGTTTCTATCTCCCTGCTGCAATGAGGTCAAAAAGCATTTGGCAGGTCTCGGTGGTCCAAAATACATTGACCAAAAGATGTTTCACCGTTTCATAGAGGACTGAGATGAACCGGGGTGCTTGATGAAGTTTTATGTACTGCATGTATCTGCATGTGAGAAGTCTGAAGTGTGCTTCATGTCGCTCTTGCAAATGTTTCAGAAGTGAAGCAACTCTTTTTGGGTGTCTTAAAGACTCAAAGATCCAACCAGGGCAGAAGTTGTTTGGCTTGCTGAAATCCCACAGAATCTCCACTGGATATGCGCTGGGATCAGATCCTTGGATTTCTAGCCCGCAAGCTGCATCAAACTGCCATGCAGGAGGAATTGGGAAAGCTGATTCCGAAAGTTCAGGCCAACCTGACGACCCATGAGGGATGCACCAAGCTTCCTGTCATTTATTAAGATTTGACATGGTTCAACTCGCTCCTTGTCACCATGTGCTGCAAATTTGAGATGGTCTCTGCAATTTGTCGCAGGAATTGCTCGACTATCTAAAGCAGTTCGACATGGGCGGTAAAGGGGCATTGTCAGAGGAAGAGCTGCAAGAAGTGATGAGAGGCAGGATCGGGCTTGGAACAGCCGAAAAGGTTGGGGGCCAGGGGATCAACGGATGCCTGGCTGCCTGATGAAGTCTGTTTGCACATCGAAGCCACGTCCTGTCAGGGAGCAACAGGTCCAGGTGGAGCCAGCATGCAGAGACTCCCAAACCATACCAAACAAGAGTAGAAACAAGAAGAAACACATAGAAACATATAGACATATTTGTGATGTTTTTGACCCAAGCTAAACCTCTGCAGAAATTCGAAAACATCCACTGTAATAATCTGTAATACGGGTCTAATTACTTGTTGGTGTGTCTATGCTAGGACCCGCAGGTTGACATTTTAAGACGTTGGCGTCGCAGGAAGTGAGCTGAGAAAGGACGAAGTCCAGGCCGGGTGGGAGCTGCACGATGGAATTTGGAGGTTGTCATTCTTTAAAGTTTGTCACAAGACTGCAAAGCCAATCCTGGTCATTCCATACATAACTGGTTTACGCATGCATAGACTTTAGACACTGCTTTACCACCTGTCTTTCAATAGACCATACCATATCCTTTCCAGAAAAGAACCAACTGTGACATCCTGTGAACGTTCCGTGTATTCAGCTGAGCCTTGAACGATTGGATGGTTGCCGGGCCATGTCCAAACGGGTCAAGGCCAGTCTTCGGAAGCTGCCGAGGAACAGCGCCCTGCACGCAAGTAGACCCGCCAACCCATAGATGCCACAGATGCAGGTGCTTTTTTTGGTGTTGAGCCGCTTGCAGCGGTCTTCGGAGGGTACATAGTAAACTGAGTAAACCATAGAGCGATTTCCAGACACATATCAAGATATGTCAAGGAGACCAGGTGTTTTGCTCAGCGTAGCTGAGGTGAAGGTCACCTGGACATCGTGAAACTGTCCAAGTACTTCTTGGAGCTTGGCGACTCTCAGGCTCCGCATAAGCCTCTGACAATCTGCCACAGATTGACAATGTGCCGAGGTTTGACAACCTAGAGAGAGAGAGAGAGATGTTCTTGTTCGTTTTTCTTTGTGGAAGAGAGGCTGAGAGTATCAATGCTTCTTTGATGTGGAACCTTGTCAGCGTTGGCGGCCTCGTCAGGTTGAAGCTGACGACTCGATTCCTGGTACAGCGAAAACTAGGCGGGCAGCACTTGATGCTCAGGGCTCCCAGTTGTGGTACAGGTGCCTTACAGGTGCTGAAAAGGATTGAAAAGGCAAAAATGGTCGATGAATGCTCGCTCAACTATTATCTCGTTTTTTGCCTGTTCTGTTTCAGGACATGTCGCATGTGGTTCAAACAAACGGGACCCAAAATCGACTGAGCAGGGAACCATTTCCCTTCTTAGCATGGTGCACTCCGACAGATGAATCAACCTTGCCCTGTGTCCAATGTCGATTTAGAGAGGCAAAGGCGAACAACCCATCCACGCAGTCGTGACCAGGCGGGATGTCGCCTCCCAGGTGCGAGAAGCGCGGGAGCTCAGTGGCGATGCTTCGAGCTTCCCTAGTTTTTCACCGAGGGAGATATCACAAGGGAATCCATTGCACTTGTGGCCACCAGTTCACCTACATGCGCCTGGGACTATTAAATGATGTAGGTCTGGTCGTAGTATTTGGTATCATTATTCATTATATTCATTCAATTATTCCCAAATTTTTGGATTTGGAACCGTCTAATATCGGCATATCGGATGGGGACTGGCTGTCTCACAAATTCATTGATTGATCACCAGTTTGAATATTGTGATTGTCAGCCCGAAGGCCATTACCAATGTGGCCGACGCAGAAGCCTGGTTCCGAGCAGTACCAAGTGGAGAAAATGTCATGACGTTGGCACATGACTGGGGAAGTGTTCTGTCCATATGTGAAGGCCACCAACAGTACACCATATGCACTTGCTCAATCATTCCACGATGTCAATATGAGCAATTGTTTCTTTATCTTTTCTCTTTGAAGGATTTCCTCGTGTGGAGCCACTGAAATTGCCCCAAGGCTCGATACAACTTGAAAGATCCACAGGCTTTCGCGCAATTCCTACAAGATTCGGATGTTCGGTTGGTACGAGCCAAGTTTGACCCCCAGTCGTTGCGGCTATGTGCTCCACGGTAAAGTTGTGCTCTGCAGTGCTGTGCAGTGCTGTACAGATTTGCATGTGGAAGTGCTCGATCATTGAATCCTTAGATAGATTGCAGCCAAAGCAGGACCAATGTTTATATACACGCAAAGAATTATGAAGATGGCAAGTCATTCAGATAGCTGAACAATTCAGCATGCGAGCCACAAATGCCAGCTTCAACCTACCTAGAGGCCAGAAACTCATGACAAAAGATGTTTCCGTTCATGTCTGACATGAGACGTGATGCACCTTACAAGAATCTGCGCTGAGGTACCTTTCTGATTTGGTTCTCTCCAAGCGGCCGTTACCGAGACGGCAAGAAGCTGAAACCGAGACCTTCACGTGCGGTGGGAAGCCTCAGAGTGCGTTGGTGACGCACGAAGAAGTGCAAAATTGGGCCAATGGGACCCAGGAGGCGATCATTTGTTCCATTTCCCACGCCTGGGAAACCCGGGAACATCCAGATCCATGTCGGCACCAATTGCAGCAGATCGTCAATCATACTGGACTTTACGGTGCTGCATTCAAAGCAGACATTTGGATCTTCTATGATTACAGCTCGCTCTTCCAATACGAAAGAACCAACCCACATGAAGAGAGGAGCTTTCGAAAGGCGATGAACAACATGCACCTCATGTATGCTCACGAATGCACTTTGACATTCAGGATCGAAACCCTTACTCCAGAGCCTGTTTGGAACACCATGCTGGCTGATGAAGAAGCTGTTGTCCGAGTGTATGATGCAGGCAGCAAGACTCTGAAAGAGAAGCCCTTGAAGCTCTTGGAAGCCAACAGAACTCCATACTTACTGCGAGGGTGGTGTATGGCAGAAATCGAATGGTCATCTCTGAGAGGAGTGAATGCACAACATCAACACATCGACAGGCCGAAGGATCCGAAGGCTGAGACGCAGAAATCCGATGATCTCAATGGGAGAGTGCCTATGATCCCTGAGAATTTCAGGAAGCAAATGGGGCAAGCAAAGTTCACCCATCGCTCGGATGCTGACGCAGTGATCTATTTGCAACAAAAGATTTTCAGGGAGAAGGTGATCGAATGCCAACACTTGGTGTTGGAAGGCCTTCCGGCCCAAGAGATCTCGGCACTAGCGCATGCACTCCCACACTACGAAAATCTGAAGAGCTTAACGCTGAGGAGGTTTCAATGTGGCGAGGAAGAGGCAACGTCCCTAGGGAAGGCCAGAGATATGTCTAGTTGATGCTAGTTGTGTGACCTTGGATGGAAAAACAACTTTGCCGTGTCCTCAAAAAACCTGGCGCCCTGCAGGCTTTGGCATCAAGTCAAGTGGAGACGCTTGAAATCCGTGGCATCGATGAAAGTGGCCGCTTCATGGTGAAGGCAGCAGATTGTTTGATCATTGATCCACTTGCTTGATACGATCGCTTTCTCACCGCAGATACAACAATAAAGGGCAAGTCGCTGAATTGCTAGGTTACCTCCTCTTGGAGTCATTTGAGGCATATCACGGGTAGCTAGCTGGAGTCCCTTCTCACGGTAGCAAGGGATGTGGGAGGCAGCGATTGGCCCTGTTCCCCCCATTGAACATTGGCTGACTTGGGCTTGATTTCCCCCAATGAGACCACACCATCTACATCAGCTATCATTTTGGACATAAAGCTCGAAATGTAACATGATGTTACCTTGGAACATGGCTCGGCTCACTCCACCTCACACTTTCCAACGCTCTCCACTCTCAAGTCATCTAAGTCGGTCCACTGCACAGGATCAAACTCACTCCACTGAATTCACTCCATCCAACTCACTCATTCTATCCAACTCTAGCAATCCAACGAACTCACTCTAACAACCTTCATCCACCAAACTCACTCCGCCCAGCCCATTCCATCAACTCACCACCACTAACTCCACTCAGAGCCACCTTCACTCCCTTGCCCATGTTCCCCTTGCATCTCGCTTCGCCAAGTCTCTTTACTCATTTTACTTGTTGCAGTTGCTGACCCGGATCTTTGATGTCTTGTGTTTCTTTCAGGCTCTCGCGGAAGCCTTGAAGATCAATTCCAGTAGCTCCTTGCGGAACATGAATTTGGAATCTAATGAGATTGGTGACGCGGGAGCTCAGGCCTGGCCTGTTTCGGACGTGTTGGGCTCGTTGGCTTAGACTCAACCCACATAAAGGGGTATCCCAAGTACGATGATGCTTTCTCTGGGTAGATGTAGCTTGCTTGATTTCAGTTTGGCTGTTGGTGATGTGTCCAGGCCTAGTCTCTTTGCCATGCTTTCATTCGAAGCATTTCCCGATCAGCTTCAAGTGAGTGTCATGTCGATTCGTAGGTTGGTCTAGGTTGGTCAGAGGCGAGCCAAGTCTCTTTACTCATTTTACTTGTTGCAGTTGCTGACCCGGATCTTTGATGTCTTGTGTTTCTTTCAGGCTCTTGCAGAAGCCTTGAAGATCAATAGCTCCTTGCGGAACATGAATTTGGCAGGTAACAAGATTGGTCCCGAGGGAGCTCAGGCCCGGCCTGTATCGGATGTGTTGGGCTCTGGCTTAGATGTAGCCGCTGATGTAACCCATATCAAGCGGTATCCCAAGTATGATGATAATTTCTCTGGGTAGATGTAGCTTGCTTGACTTCAGTTTGGCTGTTGGTGATGTGTCCAGGCATAGCCTCTTTGACATGCTTTCATTCGAAGCATTTCCAGATCAGCTTCGAGTGAGTGTCATGTCGATTCGTAGGTTGGTCTAGGTTGGTCAGAGGCGAGCCAAGTCTCTTTACTCATTTTACTTGTTGCAGTTCCTGACCCGGATCTTTGATGTCTTGTGTTTCTTTCAGGCTCTCGCGGAAGCCTTCAAGACCAATAGCTCCGTGCGGGACATGAATTTGGCAGGTAACAAGATTGGTCCTGAGGGAGCTCAGGCCCGGCCTGTATCGGATGTGTTGGGCTCTTTGGCTTAATCCACATCGTAGGTATCGCAGGTATGATTATGTTTTCCCTGGGTAGATGTAGCTTGCTTGATTACAGATGTAGCTTGCTTGATTTCAGTTTGGTTGTTGCTGATTTGTCCAGGCCTAGCCTCTTTAGCATGCTTTCACTTGAACCCTTTTCAGATCGGCTTCAACTTCTTGCGGTAGCAAGGGATGTCGGAGGCAGCGATAACCCCGGTTCCGCCCATTGAACACCCCTGGCTGATTGAGGCTTGATTTCCCACAAGACCACACCATCTGCCATCATTTGGCGCTAGAAGTGCAACATGTTACCTTGGAACATGACTGGACCTGGGAATAGGAAACTCGCCTTCACACCGATCCAACTTGATGCACTCTCAATCCAAGCTCACTCCACCAAACTCAAGTCATCCAACTCAAGTCATCTAACTCGATCCACTGCACAGGATCAAACTCACTCCACTGAATTCACTCCATCCAACTCACTCATTCTATCCAACTCTAGCAATCCAACGAACTCACTCTACCAACCTTCATCCACCCAACTCACTCCGCCCAGCCCATTCCATCAACTCACCAACACTAACTCCATTCAGAGCCACCTTCACTCCCTTGCCCATGTTCCCCTTGCATCTCGCTTCGCCAAGTCTCTTTACTCATTTTACTTGTTGCAGTTGCTGACCCGGATCTTTGATGTCTTGTGTTTCTTTCAGGCTCTTGCAGAAGCCTTGAAGATCAATAGCTCCGTGCGGAACATGAATTTGGAAGATAACAAGATTGGTCCCGAGGGAGCTCAGGCCTAGCCTGTTTCGGATGTCTGGGGCTCTTTGGCTTCGACGTAACCCACATCAAGGGGTATCCCAAGTACGACGATGCTTTCTCTGGGTAGATGTAGCTTGCTTGATTTCAGTTTGGCTGTTGGTGATGTGTCCAGGCATAGCCTCTTTGACATGCTTTCATTCGAAGCATTTCCAGATCAGCTTCAAGTGAGTGCATGTCGATTCGTAGGTCTAGGTTGGTCAGAGGCGAGCCAAGTCTCTTTACTCATTTTACTTGTTGCCGTTGCTGACCCGGATCTTTGATGTCTTGTGTTTCTTTCAGGCTCTCGCAGAAGCCTTGAAGATCAATAGCTCCGTGCGGGACATGAATTTGTCAGAGAATGACATCGGTGACAAGGGAGCTCAGGCCTGGCCTGTATCGGATGTGTTGGGCTCTGGCTTAGATGTAGCCGCTGATGTAGCCCATATCAAGGGGTATCCCAAGTATGATGATAATTTCTCTGGGTAGATGTAGCTTGCTTGATTTCAGTTTGGCTGTTGGTGATTTGTCCAGGCATAGCCTCTTTAGTATGCTTTCATTCGAAGCATTTCCAGATGAGTGACATGTCGATTCGTAGGTTGGTCTAGGTTGGTCAGAGGCGAGCCAAGTCTCTTTACTCATTTTACTTGTTGCAGTTGCTGACCCGGATCTTTGATGTCTTGTGTTTCTTTCAGGCTCTTGCAGAAGCCTTGAAGATCAATAGCTCCGTGCGGAACATGAATTTGGAAGATAACAAGATTGGTCCCGAGGGAGCTCAGGCCCAGCCTGTTTCGGATGTCTGGGGCTCTTTGGCTTCGACGTAACCCACATCAAGGGGTATCCCAAGTACGATGATGCTTTCTCTGGGTAGATGTAGCTTGCTTGATTTCAGTTTTGTTGTTGGTGATGTGTCCAGGCATAGCCTCTTTGACATGCTTTCATTCGAAGCATTTCCAGATCAGCTTCGAGTGAGTGTCATGTCGATTCGTAGGTCTAGGTTGGTCAGAGGCGAGCCAAGTCTCTTTACTCATTTTACTTGTTGCAGTTGCTGACCCGGATCTTTGATGTCTTGTGTTTCTTTCAGGCTCTCGCGGAAGCCTTCAAGACCAATAGCTCCGTGCGGGACATGAATTTGGCAGATAATGGCATCGGTGACGAGGGAGCTCAGGCCCGGCCTGTTTCAGATGTGTTGGGGCCTTTAGCTTAGACTCAACCCACATCAAGGCGTATCACAAGTATGATGATGTTCTCTCTGGGTAGATGTTGCTTGCTTGACTTCAGTTTGGTTGTTGGTGATGTGTCCAGGCCTAGTCTGTTTGACATGCTTTCACTTGAACATTTTCAGATCAGCTTTAAGATGCTTTAAGTGAGTCATCTTGATGCGTAGGTTCGCCCAGTTTGCTCAAAGGTGATCCAAGTCTTTTTAGTTAGTACTTGCAGTTGCTGACCCGGATCTTTGATGTCTTGTGTGTCTTTCAGGCTCTCGCGGAAGCCTTGAAGATCAATAGCTCCGTGCGGGACATGAATTTGGGATATAATGAGATTGGTCCCGAGGGAGCTCAGGCCCGGCCTGTTTCAGATGTGTTGGGGCCTTTAGCTTAGACTCAACCCACATCAAGGGGTATCACAAGTATTATGATGTTCTCTCTGGGTAGATGTTGCTTGCTTGACTTCAGTTTGGTTGTTGGTGATGCGTCCAGGCCTAGTCTGTTTGACATGCTTTCATTCGAAGCATTTCCAGATCAGCTTCACGTGAGTGTCATGTCGATTCTTAGGTTGGTCTAGGTTGGTCAGAGGCGTGCCAAGTCTCTGTATATGTTGCAGTTGCTGACCCGGATCTTTGATGTCTTGTGTTTCTTTCAGGCTCTCGCGGAAGCCTTCAAGACCAATAGCTCCGTGCGGGACATGAATTTGGCAGGTAACAAGATTGGTCCCGAGGGAGCTCAGGCCCGGCCTGTATCGGATGTGTTGGGCTCTTTGGCTTAACCCACATCGTAGGTATCGCAGGTATGATTATGTTTTCTCTGGGTAGATGTAGCTTGCTTGATTACAGATGTAGCTTGCTTGATTTCAGTTTGGTTGTTGTTAATTTGTCCAGGCCTAGCCTCTTTAGTATGCTTTCATTCGAAGCATTTCCAGATGAGTGACATGTCGATTCGTAGGTTGGTCTAGGTTGGTCAGAGGCGAGCCAAGTCTCTTTACTCATTTTACTTGTTGCAGTTGCTGACCCGGATCTTTGATGTCTTGTGTTTCTTTCAGGCTCTCGCAGAAGCCTTGAAGATCAATAGCTCCGTGCGGGACATGAATTTGGCAAATAACGAGATTGGTCCCGAGGGAGCTCAGGCCTGGCCTGTATCGGATGTGTTGGGCTCTTTGGCTTAACCTACATCGTAGGTATCGCAGGTATGATTATGTTTTCTCTGGGTAGATGTAGCTTGCTTGATTACAGATGTAGCTTGCTTGATTTCAGTTTGGTTGTTGGTAATTTGTCCAGGCCTAGCCTCTTTAGTATGCTTTCATTCGAAGCATTTCCAGATGAGTGACATGTCGATTCGTAGGTTGGTCTAGGTTGGTCAGAGGCGAGCCAAGTCTCTTTACTCATTTTACTTGTTGCAGTTGCTGACCCGGATCTTTGATGTCTTGTGTTTCTTTCAGGCTCTCGCAGAAGCCTTGAAGATCAATAGCTCCGTGCGGAACATGAAATTGGAAGATAACAAGATTGGTCCCGAGGGAGCTCAGGCCCAGCCTGTTTCGGATGTCTGGGGCTCTTTGGCTTCGACGTAACCCACATCAAGGGGTATCCCAAGTACGATGATGCTTTCTCTGGGTAGATGTAGCTTGCTTGATTTCAGTTTTGTTGTTGGTGATGTGTCCAGGCATAGCCTCTTTGACATGCTTTCATTCGAAGCATTTCCAGATCAGCTTCGAGTGAGTGTCATGTCGGTTCGTAGGTTGGTCTAGGTTGGTCAGAGGCGAGCCAAGTCTCTTTACTCATTTTACTTGTTGCAGTTGCTGACCCGGATCTTTGATGTCTTGCGTTTCTTTCAGGCTCTCGCAGAAGCCTTGAAGACCAATAGCTCCTTGCGGAACATGAATTTGAAACACAACGAGATTGGTCCCGAGGGAGCTCAGGCCTGGCCTGTATCGGATGTGTTGGGCTCTTTGGCTTAACCTACATCGTAGGTATCGCAGGTATGATTATGTTTTCTCTGGGTAGATGTAGCTTGCTTGATTACAGATGTAGCTTGCTTGATTTCAGTTTGGTTGTTGGTAATTTGTCCAGGCCTAGCCTCTTTAGTATGCTTTCATTCGAAGCATTTCCAGATCAGCTTCAAGTGAGTGTCATGTCGATGCGTAGGTTGGTCCAGGTTGGTCAGAGGCGAGCCAAGTCTCTTTACTTAATTTAATTTATATATATATATACTTGTTGCAATTGCTGACCCGGATCTTTGATGTCTTGTGTTTCTTTCAGGCTCTCGCGGAAGCCTTGAAGACCAACAGCTCCGTGCGGGACATGAATTTGTCATGTAATACGATTGGTCCCGAGGGAGCTCAGGCACGGCGTGTACTGGAAGTCTTGGTCTCTTTGGCTTCGTTGTAACCCACATCAAGGGGTATCACAAGTATTATGATGTTCTCTCTATGGGTAGATGTTGCTTGCTTGACTTCAGTTTGGTTGTTGGTGATGTGTCCAGGGCCTCTTTAGTATGCTTTCATTCGAAGCATTTCCAGATGAGTGACATGTCGATTCGTAGGTTGGTCTAGGTTGGTCAGAGGCGAGCCAAGTCTCTTTACTCATTTTACTTGTTGCAGTTGCTGACCCGGATCTTTGATGTCTTGTGTTTCTTTCAGGCTCTCGCAGAAGCCTTGAAGACCAATAGCTCCGTGCGGGACATGAATTTGGAATATAACGAGATTGGTCCCGAGGGAGCTCAGGCCTGGCCTGTATCGGATCTGTTGGGCTCTTTGGCTTAGACTCAACCCACATCAAGGCGTATCACAAGTAGGATGTTGTTTTCGCTGGGTAGATGTAGCTTGCTTGATTTCAGTTTTGTTGTTGGTGATGTGTCCAGGCATAGCCTCTTTGACATGCTTTCATTCGAAGCATTTCCAGATCGGCTTCAAGTGAGTGTCATGTCGATTCGAAGGTTGGTCCAGGTTGCTCAGAGGTGAGCCAAGTTTTCGTACGTTTTGCACATAATGACCATAAATGACCATTGACGACTTGATGACAAATATGACCGAAGTGGAGTTGAGGTGTATGTTTTTTTTGGGTGCTAGTCACGAAAGCTAGCGTCAGCTAGCTGGAGTCTTCTTGCTTTAGCAAGTATTCCGGGGGCTGCTCAAGGACATCACGTGATTTTTCACGCGAAAGGGGGGGACCCCCACCACCACCACCACCACCACCATCACCACCATCATCATCATCATCATCATCGTCATCATCATCGTCGTCATCATCATCATCATCATCATCATCATCATCATCGTCATCGTCCTCGCCATCGTCCTCGTCATCGTCATCCTCATCATCATCATCATCATCATCATCATCATCATCATCATCATCATCATCATCATCATCATCATCATCATCATCATTGTCATCGTCCTCGCCATCGTCCTCGTCATCGTCATCATCATCATCATCATTATCATCATCATCATCATCATCATCCTCGTCCTCGTCCTCGTCCTTGTCCTCGTCATCGTCCTCGTCCTCGTCATCGTCATCATCATCATCATCATAATCACCATCATCGTTAATCAATTACATTTTATCATTATTGGCAATTATTGGCATTATCACGAAAGCTAGCGTCAGCTCGCTAGAGTCTTCTTGCTTTAGCACGTATTCCGGGGCTCCCCAAGGACATCACGTGATTTTTCCCGCGAAAGGGCCCCCCCCTGCCCCCTCCCCCATATATATCATTGTTATATATCATATATCAATATATCATTGTTGCATCCTCGTTGGGACGAACAATGCCGCGACACGATGATGACAGTCCTTCCGCAACTCACCTCTTCCCTTCCTTCTTTCTCCTACCCCGCTAGCTTTCGTCATCCACCCCCAGCCTCAAGTGCAAAGCACAGCAGACTCAGAACCCACAGCGTCAATTTCTTGGCTGGCTCTCTGCCGGGCTAATCTACAGAGTCTCAAGTTGTTGTCTCAGCATGCGGCCAAAGCTTCTCATATAAGCTCTCAGGGGCCTAGTGTGGATTGCTCTTTCACACTTGGGAACGTGCATCTGTCACAGCGAGCTTCGACTCGACCTAGCTTTGCTTCAGCCAGGCTCTTGCAGACGCCCTGCAGAGGAAGACTTGGACTGACGGTGACCTGGACGACAGTGACTTGGACGACGGAGCCAAGGCCTGGGGCTCTGAGTGGCTTCATGCTTCATGCATCACCATGTGGAGGGGCTTGAGTTTTTCCGTTGCCGCTGCTTTGATATCCAAATATTTTATCTTGTTCAACTTTCTTCGAAATGAGCTCTCACTTGCCATTTTATCTCTGTGTCTTGTGGCATGCTACTCAACAGGAGAGTGCTGATCAAGTCCCCGGCAGACGCCCTTTTGAAGCACCGGTTCGTCTTAAGGCAGGTTTCCTGTGTTGCGGCGCAAGGTGGTGCTCCTTTCTGGAAGGGAAATTGATGGATTTTGTACCATTGTTTCAATTCAGTTTTCCTCACAAGGGCTTCTGCTAAATCGACTGGACAACCACCTGGGGCAGTTCTGCAGCGTTTTTTCTTTTGTGTCAATCGAATCGACAAAAGTTGGTTCACTGTTCCCACGCAACGTTTCAGCCGGTGTGACATCGCTGAACAGTTCCAAGTACTGTTGTCGAACCGAGATTTTCAGGATACGCATCTGTTAATTCTCTGGACAATTTTTGCCGCATGTGGTTTGCACTGAGTTAGACATGGGACGACCACTCTTGTTTAGATACTTGGCAATGATTGAATTGTATCCTTTCTGGAACAGATTTCAGCCTACTTCCATGTCGCTTTCCCTTTGGCCAGGGCCTAGCTGAAGCTTTGAAGACGAACACTTCCGTGACAAGCATCGACCTGTCTTGGAATTCCATCGGCGTTGAGGGAGTGAAGGCCTTTTGTGTCCCGGGATTCCAAGTGGCTGCTCATGGTGTCTTTGTCGCCAGCTTGAAAGGCTTTGTAGTCTGCTCATGCTCATCCTTTGCATGTCCAGGTTCCAAATCTTGTTGACTGTCAGTGAAGTGGGTGAATTGATTTTTGACTTGAACTCATTTTGTGTGGTCTGATGTGGCATGCTTTCTACTGGGATATTGGCATGATATTGGCTGGAAATGCACCTCTGTAAAGCACATTTGCCTTGAATCCAGTGGGAATTGTTGTTTGGACACTCGGAGTCGGAAACTGAGAGTTGTGTCTCATTTGTATTTCATGACGTCTCACAGATATCAACCTTGATCTACTTCCAAGTCGCTTTCCCTTTGGCCAGGCACTAGCCGAAGCTTTGAAGAAGAACACTTCCGTGACAAGCATCGACCTGGGTTTCGATCACATCGGCGATGAGGGAGTGAAGGCCTTTTATGTCCCGGGATTCCAAGTGGCTGCTCATGGTGTCTTTGCCGCCAGTTTGGTGAAAGGTTTTGTCGTCTGCTCATGCTCATCCTTCGCATTTACAGGTTCCAAATCTTGTTGACTGTCAGTGAAGTGGGCGAACCTATTTTTGAATTGAACTCCTTCTGTGTGGTATGATGTGGTATGCTTTCTACTGGGATATTGGCATGATATTGGCTGGAAATGTATCTGAGTAAACGACATTTGCCCTGAATCCTTGATCCAGTGGGATTTGTTCTTTGGAAACTCAGAGTCGGAAACTGAGAGTTGTGTCTCATTTGTATTTCATGAGGTCTCACAGATGTCAACCTTGATCTACTTCCATGTCGCTTTCCCTTTGGCCAGGCACTAGCTGAAGCTTTGAAGAAGAACACTTCTGTGACAAGCATCAACCTGACTTGCAATTCCCTCGGCGTTGAGGGAGTGAAGGCCTTTTGTGTCCCAGGATTCCAAGTGGCTGCTCATGGTGTCTTTGCCGCCAGTTTGGTGAAAGGCTTTGTAGTTTGCTCATGCTCATCTTTCGCACTTCCAGGTTTTCAAATTAAGTCGACTGTGAGTGAAGTGGGTGAATTTCTTTTTGACTTGAACACATTCTGTGTGGTATGATGTGGTATGCTTTCTACTGGGATATTGGCATGATATTGGCTGGAAGTGCATCTCTGTGTCAAAGACATTTGCCCTGAATCCAGTGGGAATTGTTGTTTGGAAACTCGGAGTCGGAAACTGAGAGTTGTGTCTCATTTGTATTTCATGACGTCTCACAGATGTCAGATTTGATCTACTTCCACATCGCTTTCCCTTCGGCCAGGCACTGGCTGAAGCTTTGAAGACGAACACTTCCGTGACAAGCATCGGCCTGGGTTTGAATTCCATCGGCGATGAGGGGGTGAAGGCCTTTTGTGTCCCGGGATTCCAAGTGGCTGTTCATGGTGTCTTTGTCGCCAGCTTCTTGGAAGGCTTTGTAGTTTGCTCATTCTCATCCTTCGCATTTCCAGATTTTCAAATTAAGTCGACTGTGAGTGAAGTGGGTGAATTTCTTTTTGACTTGAACACATTCTGTGTGGTATGATGTGGTATGCTTTCTACTGGGATATTGGCATGATATTGGCTGGAAGTGCATCTCTGTGTCAAAGACATTTGCCCTGAATCCAGTGGGAATTGTTGTTTGGACACTCGGAGTCGGAAACTGAGAGTTTTGTCTCATTTGTATTTCATGAGGTCTCACAGATGTCAGCTTTGATCTACTTCCACATCGCTTTCCCTTCGGCCAGGCACTGGCTGAAGCTTTGAAGACGAACGTTTCCGCGACAAGCATCGACCTGCTTGACAATTCCATCGGGGATGAGGGAGTGAAGGCCTTTTGTGTCCCGGGATTCCAAGTGGCTGTTCATGGTGTCTTTGTCGCCAGCTTTTTGAAAGGCTTTGTAGTTTGCTCATGGTCATCCTTCGCATTTCCAGTTTCCAATTTTTGTTGACTGTCAGTGAAGCGAAGTGGGTGAATTGATTTTTGACTTGAACATACTTGAACTCATTCTGTGTGGTATGATGTGGTATGCTTTCTGCTGGGATATTGGCATGATATTGGCTGGAAGTGCATCTCTGTGTCAAAGACATTTGCCCTGAATCCAGTGGGATTTGTTGTTTGGAAACTCGGAGTCGGAAACTGGGAGTTGTGTCTCATTTGTATTTCATGAGGTCTCACGGATGTCAGCCTTGATCTACTTCCATGTCGCTTTCCCTTCGGCCAGGCACTAGCCGAAGCTTTGAAGACGAACACTTCCGTGACAAGCATCGACCTGCTTGACAATTCCATCGGGGATGAGGGAGTGAAGGCCTTTTGTGTCCCGGGATTCCAAGTGGCTGCTCATGTTGTTTTTGTCGCCAGCTTTTTGAAAGGCTTTGTAGTTTGCTCATGGTCATCCTTCGCATTTCCAGTTTCCAATTTTTGTTGACTGTGAGTAAAGTGGGTGAATTGATTTTTGACTTGAACTCATTTTGTGTGGTCTGATGTGGCATGCTTTCTACTGGGATATTGGCATGATATTGGCTGGAAATGCACCTCTGTAAAGCACATTTGCCTTGAATCCAGTGGGAATTGTTGTTTGGACACTCGGAGTCGGAAACTGAGAGTTTTGTCTCATTTGTATTTCATGACGTCTCACAGATGTCAACCTTGATCTACTTCCAAGTCGCTTTCCCTTTGGCCAGGCACTAGCCGAAGCTTTGAAGAAGAACACTTCCGTGACAAGCATCGATTTGGCTCGCAATTCCATCGGCGATGAGGGAGTGAAGGCCTTTTGTGTCCCGGGATTCCAAGTGGCTGCTCATGTTGTTTTTGTCGCCAGCTTTTTGAAAGGCTTTGTAGTTTGCTCATGCTCATCCTTCGCATTTCCAGTTTCCAATTTTTGTTGGCCGTCAGTGAAGTGGATGAATTGATTTTTGACTTGAACTCATTCTGTGTGGTATGATGTGGTATGCTTTCTACTGGGATATTGGCATGATATTGGCTGGAAGTGCATCTCTGTGTCAAAGACATTTGCCCTGAATCCAGTGGGATTTGTTCTTTGGAAACTCAGAGTCGGAAACTGAGAGAGTGTGTCTCATTTGTATTTCATGAGGTCTCACAGATGTCAGCCTTGGTCTACTTAGTCTACTTAGTCTACTTCCACATCGCTTTCCCTTTTGCCAGGCACTAGCTGAAGCTTTGAAGACGAACACCTCCGTGACAAGCATCAACCTGGAAAACAATTCCATCGGCGATGAGGGCGCACAGGCCTGTTGTGTCCCGGGATTCCAAGCATGGTGTCTTTGTCGCCAGCTTTTTGGAAGGCTTTGTAGTTTGCTCATGCTCATCCTTCGCATTTCCAGATTTTCAAATTAAGTCGACTGTGAGTGAAGTGGGTGAATTTCTTTTTGACTTGAACACATTTTGTGTGGTCTGATGTGGCATGCTTTCTACTGGGATATTGGCATGATATTGGCTGGAAATGCACCTCTGTAAAGCACATTTGCCTTGAATCCAGTGGGAATTGTTGTTTGGACACTCGGAGTCGGAAACTGAGAGTTTTGTCTCATTTGTATTTCATGACGTCTCACAGATGTCAACCTTGATCTACTTCCAAGTCGCTTTCCCTTTGGCCAGGCACTAGCCGAAGCTTTGAAGAAGAACACTTCCGTGACAAGCATCGGCCTGGGTTCCAATTCCATCGGCGATGAGGGAGTGAAGGCCTTTTGTGTCCCGGGATTCCAAGTGGCTGCTCATGTTGTTTTTGTCGCCAGCTTTTGAAAGGCTTTGTAGTTTGCTCATGCTCATCCTTCGCATTTCCAGTTTCCAATTTTTGTTGGCCGTCAGTGAAGTGGATGAATTGATTTTTGACTTGAACTCATTCTGTGTGGTATGATGTGGTATGCTTTCTACTGGGATATTGGCATGATATTGGCTGGAAGTGCATCTCTGTGTCAAAGACATTTGCCCTGAATCCAGTAGGATTTGTTCTTTGGAAACTCAGAGTCGGAAACTGAGAGAGCGTGTCTCATTTGTATTTCATGAGGTCTCACAGATGTCACCCTTGGTCTACTTAGTCTACTTAGTCTACTTCCACATCGCTTTCCCTTTTGCCAGGCACTAGCTGAAGCTTTGAAGACGAACACCTCCGTGACAAGCATCAACCTGGAGAACAATTCCATCGGCGATGAGGGCGCACAGGCCTGTTGTGTCCCGGGATTCCAAGCATGGTGTCTTTGTCGCCAGCTTTTTGGAAGGCTTTGTAGTTTGCTCATGCTCATCCTTCGCATTTCCAGATTTTCAAATTAAGTCGACTGTGAGTGAAGTGGGTGAATTTCTTTTTGACTTGAACACATTCTGTGTGGTATGATGTGGTATGCTTTCTACTGGGATATTGGCATGATATTGGCGGGCAATGCACCTCTGTAAAGCACATTTGCCTTGAATCCAGTGGGATTTGTTCTTTGGAAACTCGGAGTCGGAAACTGAGAGTTTTGTCTCATTTGTATTTCATGAGGTCTCACGGATGTCAGATTTGATCTACTTCCATGTCGCTTTCCCTTCGGCCAGGCACTAGCCGAAGCTTTGAAGAAGAACACTTCCGTGACAAGCATCAACCTGTCTGCCAATTCCATCGGCGCTGAGGGAGTGAAGGCCTTTTGTGTCCCGGGATTCCAAGTGGCTGCTCATGTTGTTTTTGTCGCCAGTTTGTTGAAAGGCTTTGTAGTTTGCTCATGATAATCCTTCGCATGTCCAGGTTTCGAATCTTGTTGGCTGTCAGTGAAGTGGATGAATTGATTTTTGACTTGAACTCATTCTGTGTGGTATGATGTGGTATGCTTTCTACTGGGATATTGGCATGATATTGGCTGGAAGTGCATCTCTGTGTCAAAGACATTTGCCCTGAATCCAGTGGGAATTGTTGTTTGGAAACTCGGAGTCGGAAACTGAGAGTTTTGCCTCATTTGTATTTCATGAGGTCTCGCAGATGTCAGATTTGATCTACTTCCATGTTGCTTTCCCTTCGGCCAGGCACTAGCCGAAGCTTTGAAGAAGAACACTTCCGTGACAAGCATCGACCTGGGTTTCAATTCCATCGGCGATGAGGGCGCGAAGGCCTTTTGTGTCCCGGGATTCCAAGTGGCTGCTCATGGTGTCTTTGTCGCCAGTTTGGTGAAAGGTTTTGTAGTCTGCTCATGCTCATCCTTCGCATTTCCAGGTTCCAAATCTTGTTGACTGTCAGTGAAGTGGGTGAATTGATTTTGACTTGAACTCATTTTGTGTGGTCTGATGTGGCATGCTTTTTACTGGGATATTGGCATGATATTGGCTGGAAATGTATCTGAGTAAACGACATTTGCCCTGAATCCAGTGGAAGTTTTTCTTTGGAAACTCAGAGTCGGAAACTGAGAGTTGTGTCTCCTTTGTATTTCATGAGGTCTCACAGATGTCAGCTTTGATCTACTTCCAAGTCGCTTTCCCTTTGGCCAGGCACTAGCTGAAGCTTTGAAGACGAACACTTCCGTGACAAGCATCGATGTGGGTTCCAATTCCATCGGCGATGAGGGCGCGCAGGCCTGTTGTGTCCCGGGATTCCAAGCATGGTGTCTTTGTCGCCAGCTTTTTGAAAGGCTTTGTAGTTTGCTCATGCTCATCCTTCGCATTTCCAGATTTTCAGATTAAGTCGACTGTGAGTGAAGTGGGTGAATTTCTTTCTGACTTGAACTCATTCTGTGTGGTATGATGTGGTATGCCTGGTATGCTTTCTACTGGGATATTGGCATGATATTGGCTGGAAATGCACCTCTGTAAAGCACATTTGCCTTGAATCCAGTGGGAATTGTTGTTTGGAAACTCGGAGTCGGAAACTGAGAGTTTTGTCTCATTTGTATTTCATGAGGTCTCGCAGATGTCAGATTTGATCTACTTCCATGTTGCTTTCCCTTCGGCCAGGCACTAGCCGAAGCTTTGAAGAAGAACACTTCCGTGACAAGCATCGACCTGGGTTTCAATTCCATCGGCGATGAGGGCGCGAAGGCCTTTTGTGTCCCGGGATTCCAAGTGGCTGCTCATGGTGTCTTTGTCGCCAGTTTGGTGAAAGGTTTTGTAGTCTGCTCATGCTCATCCTTCGCATTTCCAGGTTCCAAATCTTGTTGACTGTCAGTGAAGTGGGTGAATTGATTTTGACTTGAACTCATTTTGTGTGGTCTGATGTGGCATGCTTTTTACTGGGATATTGGCATGATATTGGCTGGAAATGTATCTGAGTAAACGACATTTGCCCTGAATCCAGTGGAAGTTTTTCTTTGGAAACTCAGAGTCGGAAACTGAGAGTTGTGTCTCATTTGTATTTCACAAGGTCTCACGGATGTCAGCCTTGATCTACTTCCAGGTCCATGTCGCTTTCCCTTTGGCTAGGCACTGGCTGAAGGATTGAAGAACACCTCCGTGACAAGCATCAAATTGTGGGACAATCCCATCGGCGATGAGGGAGCACAGGCCTCTTGTGTCCCGGGATTCCAAGTAGCTGCTCATGGTGCCATCCAGCACTGCGCACAGCCAGGCCTTGAAGCAAGTGATCGAGGAAAAGAAGAAGATGGGTTTCGAGCTCGACATCGAATTCTAGAGATCTCAGCTGAGCAGAGCTCGTTCAAAAGTCAACTCCTGCGGCGGACAGTCTGCTTGCTCCTGAGTGTGCGAGACCTACATGTTTCTTGTTGAATCATGATCATCTTCGATTGATCTAGAGCACCTGCGGCTTGTGAGATGCCCTGCGCGGGCCCTGCACG